TAAACATGACAACAATATATTGCAATAGAAAGTATGCTGCAGAGCTATTGTCAAGATGCAAGGTCATCAGATAGATTGTGACCAGACATGCCAACATGAATTGTAACAAAGTGATAAGACTCAAAAATGCTTTAAATATAAAGTACTTAACCCCGTTATATATTATTATACTTATTAATCCTACCACTATATGCATCCTCACAAAAAAATTTAAGGTTAGTTATGTAAGAATTAGAGTGTTAAACAGTAAGTGAAATGCCCTTATCAAGTTAAATCTACTTTGTGTACAAAACACAATAATACAATCAAATCATTCATCATACATATCTTTATTTTATAAATAAAATGACTTATTTACTGAACAGCAGATTTATATTTATCACAAATTAAGGCAAAAACTATGCTAAAGAATGATTTTTATTGAAATATTTACTTTTTGCCGCTTCCAAGTCCCATATTTTCAAGGCACCAGAGACTGAGCCAGCACAGACCATGTCTTCTGCATGACCAAATTTAACACATTCAACTGGTGTTGTGTGTCCAGTTAGGCTCTAAATACACAAAAATATAAAAAATTTAGTCCAAAAATTAACAAAGCCCAAACTATCATTCAATTTACCACTGAGTTGTATCATTTTTGGAAAATTCCATCCCTCATCAGTAAAACTTTATTTTCAGTATATTAAACATCTTGTCTGCTGAATAATTCCAAAGAATAAATGAAGATCATTAATGCTACATATTCTTCAAATTCTTTGTATATGTAAGTTCACTGTGGTGAGTAAAAAAAACAACACTAAATAGAAAATAATCCGTCTTTTAGTCAAGCCTATTACTACCCTCAGCATGCTAAACATCCATCCCAGAGGTCTGTTTTCTGAGAAATGTTACTGCATGGAAAACTACGAGACCCATCTTTTCAATCTTTCGTTGTTCATTTTGTTTAGTTTATTATATGTTTATTCCTAACTTATTACTTTTAAAATACATTTATATTTTTAGTAAAGTTTTTATTTTATTTTGAATTTAATTTCTGCTAACTTTTAGTGTGAACCATAATTGATGACCCATTTTCATAACTTTTAAGTACACTCTTGTGTAAGTTAAAGATTTTTCTCATTTTAATTTTATAGTGTGGTTTTACACATGTGTAACAAGGTACATTGTGATAATAATACCAGCTAGGTTCGCAGAGAGAAAAAGCATGTCAGTATGTTAACAGTTTGAATCAAACCTTGTCACATATTTTCTATACTTGTAGTATAGTTTGTGTTTGCAGGTAAGCACAAGCATGTCGAAACTTTCCATTATAAGTAGGACCACATGTTCATCTTCAAACTAGAACTGAAAAAAGATGCAGCACTTAAACTAATCTAACTCTAAAGTGCTAAACTACTTACAACTTCAAGTCATTGTCTTTCCCACAAATGCTACATGTTAAAAATATATGTGCTACAGATACAAATTAGTTCTGTAACCAATCTAACAAACTGACAAATTTTTTATCATTTTTAAGAAAACTTAAAAAAATTCATGAAAGCAAATTACAAAGTCATCTACAGTGTATTGATAGAACTTACTTTTTTAAAACTTATAGTTTAGTTACGTTCAAAGTTGCCCAACAGGCTATCTGTGCCGTACCCACTGCAAGAACGTAACCCTGAATTTTAGCATTATAAGCCCTCAAGCTTACCAGTGAGCCAAAAGGCTATTGGAAACAAGGGTAGAAAATTTATTATATACTTTTTAACCCTGAATTTTAGCATTATAAGCCCTCAAGCTTACCAGTGAGCCAAAAGGCTATTGGAAACAAGGGTAGAAAATTTATTATATACTTTTTTAAGAAAAATATACAAAAACTATAAAAAATGAAAAACAAACTTAAGCATTAAAAGTTTGAAGACAACTTGACTGAGTAATGAAGAAAATTTTATAAAAAATTTACAATGTTTTCCTTTCTATAAGTGGGTTCCTTGTTATGATTTAGATAGATTTTAGAAATACATTTTTAACCTATATAATTATTACTGAGTATTATGTTTGAAGT